CATGCCAGACACACCGGGTAAAGAAGCCTCACGTTACATGGGACAAGTCACACTCAAAATATGTCAACAGAGAGCGCTCTGTTCTTGGATCCAGAAAGGAAAAGTAGCCAAGCAAAAATGTTCGGGTCAGGCTCAATTACATCTCAGATTGATGGTCACAGTAATATTATAAAGAGGATCAGAAAACTTGTTCGTGACCGGTCCTTGGATCCAATTCCGGGAGCGAAGATGTGACATCTAACTTAGTGGGTCATTTCATAGGCTTCTGTGGCTTTTCTGAACACTCATCTCCAAGGGCCGTCAGGGTATCCGCAGCAACAAAACCCAATCGCCTGGGTGGAGAGGGGGACTTATTGTGGAATCTTTGGCAGGCTTTTCCTTGTGTTTTAAAACCGAAGTTAAGGCCGGGAACTTACTTAGAGTGGCCGTAGGACCTGACCCAATGCAGGGATATCTAAAAGGACGGGTTTCGAAAGGGAAAGGGAGGGCCATTGCTGGGACGGCTCCCTCTGCTGCTACGTGCACCAAGGCGAGGAGATCTTGTAGCCACTCTGCCACCGCTACTGCTTTCCAAAGGAGGAAAGAAAGTCCTACGTTGGGCGAGAGGGGACCATTGCTCACTGCCGCCGAACTCCCTAACGAGAACACGCACGGGTGGGGGTCCAGGGTTTCCACCTACCCTCTGTGTAATCCCGAACTTTCTGCTCGAGAGCGTTTTGCTCAGTAACAGTTTCTCAGGCAGCTTCTTTCTCGCGATATTCGCTTAGCAAGCAGCTCAGATGCTGCTGCTCCCACCAACCTGTGAGCGGGTCAGATAATAGAGGCCGATGACACCGCCCCACGCAATTTATGCCCTTGCCTAAAAGAAAAGATTACTCGGGCTTTTAAGTGCCAAACAATTGCATTCCTGTTTGTGTCTTGTTACGTTACTGCACTGAGATATGCAGACAAATACACTCACCTGCTAGCTTCTTCCTTTCAGTAAATATTTGCCTCCCCTCTCCCCGTCAGTACTTTTTTGTTTCATCTCTAGTTGGTGAAATACTAAGTTGCACAAGTAAAAAAGGGAGCAAATGGTAAAAGCAGGTAGCACATATATTTGGAACTCTTCCGTCATCCAAGAAACTTTTTAATAAATAATAATTAATAATAATTAATGTTTTAATAGCTCTAATGTACAAACAATCTTGCAATAGAACGACCAGGGTCAAAGCAGACCTGTCCAGTATACACGGTCCTTTAGGCCTGCGTGAAATTATGGATTCTCTAAGCAACATCTCACCATGTGGTTACTACCATCTGTTAATATCTTGATACTGGAAAGTTTGGGGCCTGAGGCAAAGCCGAAGCTGGCTAAGGGAGCACTTTTGGGTAATATTGCATTTTAATTATCAACAAAAAGTTTCACTTTTTGCAGCTTGGAAGAGTTACGCTATCCGCTACAAGTTGAGTTCGCTCCACAATTCAGCAATGTGGTGAGCTGCAATGGGGGGCTTTTTAATCTCAGGTGTTTTCTTGTAATTCGTGACTTTGGCAGGGGTCGGGGAGGAAGGAGTAGAAGAAGGAAGATTTAACTGGAGGCGTCTGTAGGGTTTCTCCGTGCTCCCTGACAGCTCTTTTAAATGTTTATTCCCAGTGATATTAAGTGATCTTTTCTGTGTACATTTAAACTGTTAGTTAAACAAACATCACTTCAGAGGGGCATAAGCAGTTGGGTTCCCATTAGGGAATTCCTGCAGCTGCCACTGATCTGGCATTTCGCTCGCCAGCAAGTTCAGGTTGATCGACTGCTCCATGGGCATCTATGGCTAGAACGCCCCAGAGCGGACAGCCTGCCCGTTGCGTGACACTCCGCGGGTGGGCACGAAGAGTCTTAGTACAGGGCAGCTGACTGACTTTCTGGGTTGTTTTCAAGTGGGACGTAAAGAAACGACAAAAGCAGGGGTAGGGACTGGAGCAACCGCGCTTCCGAGCCCGCGTGGGAGGCGAAGCGCTGCGCCTACTCATGGCACAGAGGTAAGACACCAGCCTGCGAAGCAAAGCAGCCGTGGGCACCTTGTCATTTCAGTGCCGCAGAGGTGGTTTGTTTAACAGCTTAGTGACTGGGAGGGCTTCTAAGCTTGTGTCCACACTCTGAAATAACGGAGGGGGGTGGTACACTGCACTGGGGAGTGCGGATTGATTGGTCGTGGGGTCCCGTCGCTGGTGGCTGACTTTTCCGAGTCACCTAGCGTGTGGGAAATGGGTGAGTGGGACTGGGATCAGCTATTCGGGATCTTTGGGGGAGGAGGGGAATGCAGCCTAAACAGAGAGGGAGCTGTGCAATGTCAGGCACCCGCAGTATGTCTGGCTGCTGGTGACGGGTCAGCGCGCCGAGCAGAAATCCACACGTCAAGGCTGGAAACAGTGGTTCTCCTTTAATGAGACAGATCGGGGGGGGGGGGGGGGGCGGGGAGCTGGCGA